GAATTTTAAGATTTTATTAGTCTGCATTGCTACTTTAATTGCTTGTACTGAGGTTAATGGTAAAAGTCCCATTGACTGCAACAGGAGGTGAGTTTCACAATAGGAATTTTTACACGTCCTCCTGTAACGCCCTAATTCTAGTGGCAGTAGAAAAGATTTTTCATTCCAAACAGTCGGAACCTTTTTATCTGATTCTAACTCTGATTCTAAAATTTATTAGTCTGCATTGCTACTTTAATTGCTTGTACTGAGGTTAATGGTAAAAGTCCCATTGACTGCAACAGGAGGTGAGTTTCACAATAGGAATTTTTACACGTCCTCCTGTAACGCCCTAATTCTAGTGGCAGTAGAAAAGATTTTTCATTCCAAACAGTCGGAACCTTTTTATCTGATTCTAACTCTGATTCTAAAATAATGCTATTATGTATGGTGAGGGCTGAAGCTGTGCCACATGTCTGTCCTACAGATGAGTAAAACATTGACATCTTCCTCCTTGTTTTGTCAGAGTTAGCTCTTCATGTTGAGATGAGAAGGCTTTGCTTTACAATAAAGGCACTTAATTTAGTTATGACATCTCAATGAGTATCAGAAGAACTAATTTTTGAAATTTTCTCGTCCAACATCTTGCCTGAATCTATATTAATGAAGTTTGAACAATGCTGGACTAAAATTGGATGAATTGAGAACATAACTGTGTCTTTCTCATTAAACTTTTTCTCTTTAAATAGCTATATAATCTAAACTGCCCCTTCACATGACAAAATGAATTCCTCGTTAATAATTTAAGTTTTTTGGTGTAAGAAATGTTTTTACCCTGAGTGTATTTTGACATTTTTCCTACTTTGCCTTGGTGTTTGTTATTTTGGGTTTTTCCCCCCCATACTTTTACTGGTGCAGTTGGTTTTCTTTGCTCTATACTCTTAAGAACATCCTGCCTTTTTTCAAGCTAATTCAGCCTCCTCATCCTTTCTGTTGGCATAAGTAATTCAAAACATCCTTGAAGAACACTGAAATACTGCAACATGTATCCTTCAGTGTCCCTGGAGATGGAGACTCAGTCAAGTGCTTTTCTTGATTCCTGATTTAGGGGCATAAGAAATACATTTTGGAAGAGATATGGAGCAGGTTTTATTATGTTGTGACACAAGGTCACATAAAACCAGTAATATCAGTAAGGCCATGTAATTAAGCACTGTGAAAAATAATTTTCTATTGAGAATGAAACTGAAAACCAAATACTCAGTGAAATTATCTCAGGCAAAAGTTTCTCTCTGATTTCCAGTTAAAACTCAGTAGATTTTAAAATCTTTTGAATGGAAAAATAGATTTATGTTTTAAAACAGGACAGCTCATGAAATAAGAAGGGTGAAATGTTGAATACACACAAATGCAAGAAAGAAAGTAATTTGCTTCATGTAATGGTCTAACATTGTAAAGAACACAGGAACAAAACTGAGCAGCTGGAAAATGTCAGCAGAATGCTGAGATTGAATCTGTGCTCTGGCTGACTTTCTCATTGCTCTAATTCTGTATTAGGTAAAGGGCTTTCCAAAGCAGAGGAGGAAGAGTGTCCTCCTAGACTAAGGGGTGGCTAAATTGGTAAAAATATTTTGCCTAGAGGCTTAGTTGGTCACAAGAATCTTATATACATTGAGATTAGTTTGTCAAGAAATCACTTTTATGGATCATCATAAGTGTTTGCCAGGAGCAAAATCCAGTGAGCAGATCTAGTATTTTGGTAGACTGTACAAAAATGCTTTGTCTTATTTGTTTGGACTCATCATATGCCACTTAACAAATGAGCTAAACTTTCTGAATGAAGAAAGTCAAGTGAAAACACGCCTATTTCTTCTTTCCTACCATGGTTAACTAAAGCATAGCTAATTGTTCCTTTGCCATTCGCAGCTGAAACGTTCTCGAGAGACCGAAAGTCAGCTGAAGCCTTTGGTAGAAAAAAATAAGAGGATGAGCAAAAAAAATGATGATATGTTGCAATGTATCCAGAGAATGGAAGAGAAAATAAAAAATCTATCAAGGGAAAACGTAGAACTGGTAAGTTGTCATCACTGAGATGATCTTCTAAGAAGGCATTACACACAGTTACTTTGAGGTGGAAGTGCTTGTGAGGCTTCTACTCAATCACAAACAGATCGTTCTCAACGGTGAGATGGTGCAACTTTCAAATTCAGCCAATACAGCTGAATATTCATATTCTAAATTCAGAGTGGCATGTGCTTTGTGCTGTATCAAGTCACACTGATTAAAGGAAAGGATCGCAGATAGGAAAAATGTTTGTGCAGGCTGTAAAAATGTATGACTAAAAATCAGCTTAAATAAATGCTGCTTTCATGATTAGAAGTCAGAACCAAATTTGAGTGCATGTGCTAAAGGCTCTACTATGCTAGATCATTGAGTTCACTTGTCTGCTAATTTTTTCCCAGACTTTGTTCTTTGATTCTGTTTTAAAATATCTTATGTGAGAGATTAACACTGAGGCATACAGAATGTGTCTTTTTTTTGTTGTGGAAAGAGGCCTTCTGTTGTAGTCCAAAGAATTCTTGATTACTACATCACACGTGGGAATTTTCCTCCTATTACAGCAAGACACTTTAAAATGTTCTTTATGTTTAATTTATTTTTTTTACTTTTTTTTTGTAGAAAGAGAAGTTATCTGCACAGCCAGCACTGAAGAGGCACACATCTTTGAATGATCTCAGCAGCACACGAGAGGAACAAGAAATTGAATTCCTCAGACTGCAAGTCAAAGAACAACAGCATGTTATTGATGATCTCACAGTGGTAATGTTTATGACTGGTATACACATGTGCATGCACACACATCTATAGGCAAGCTAAAGATCTGAGAGGAATGTTTTTAATTCCAGTTGTCGTAGTGATACAGAAATAGTTCTTTGGTGTCAAAGGGTTGTTGTTATTTCTCAGGTAGTGAATGAATTTCTATGGAATGTGTATGGATCTTTGTATTATAAAATATCTACCTATTATGAGCTGCTTGTGAAGAAAAGTGCATCACGAGTCCATTGGTCTTACTTACAAAACTGTCTGTCGAGAACTGAGGAACTTGAGGAAAGGACACTTTCCAAAACTTAATGACTAAATTGTGTTGGATGTAAATTCTGGTGCGAATCCAACCACTCCCCTGATCTAGAAGTTCTCCTGAAAGAAAGGAGCATGCATGGTGGCATTGATTTCACCTGGCTAAGTGAGCTGCCCACACTAGCTGTCCTTGTAACAAATGGGGAGAAATATGTGTGACTCATCAGACCAAAGGTAATAACATGGTTTAGGACTAGAATTGAACAGCTGCTACCCTCTGGCTGTGAAGCCTCCTTAAAGTGATGCTCATAGATGTTTGCACTGTTTGATCAGGAATCTTTCAAGTTGTGTTTAAGAGGTGTTTGGTGCTATTTAGTGCAATTTATGATACACCCTCCTGGTGCTGGCAGAAATGATATATCATCTCTGAGACACCCTCACCCTTCTGGAGCAGCATCTGGAACTCAGGCAGACTCAGACATCTCAAATGGCACTGCTGACTGCTACAAAATGATCAAAAGAATTTAAGAACTTTCTGTCTGAATAGAAACTTGAACAATTGGATACAGCATTGAAAATAAAAGATCCAAAAAGATAAACCAGCAAGATGTATTATTGCTGTATCTGGAACATTGTCTCTATTCTTGGCAGTTCCTCTGAGATTTTGACCCAGGATTTTTCTCTGAAATCAGTGCCAAAGATTGATGTCTGTGTGCATTCTCCAGTGCCACAGTGTTACCAGCAGTTACACAGATGCTCTAATGTAGAGTCTGGTCCACAGAGCAATGCTGCTTTGCCTTCCAAATACAGGGAATGGTGATATGATATTAAATGTACAGTATATGGCAGATATAACCTCCCTTGTATTTCAGTGTAAATTGGGTCTGAAAGGACTCTCTTTTTACTGTCTCAGCTAGTAATCTGAGGAAATATATTGTATCCTGACTTTGGTCAATTAGTATTAACTTGTGTTTAGTGTGAAAGTAAAATAAATAAATATTTAAAAATATGGTTTCATTTTTGCTTTGTTTCCTATTTACAGATACTATTCCACTTGCAGAAATAACTTCTTAACTGAGATACTGCTTTGGTTGGCAGTGCAAACTAATTGAGGCTTTGCCTTCAATATGAATGCAGTGGAATTCTGCACTTTGCTATGCTTTTTAGCTATCTTTTCTGGCTCAGATCCCACCTCTACAGAATACCTATGTATCATAGTTATCAAGAATGACCCAAATGTCCATACCTGATTAATATAGAAGTCATCAGCTTAACTCCAGCTGAGACCAATATTATACACAGAAATAAGAACATTAGTCTTAGGCAATAGGGTTGTCTGAACTGATTAACAGTGTTGTTTGTAGGATATCTTGGTGCTGTTGAAACCATGCCAACTTGAGTTCTCCCACAACAGTGGTGTCCTGGGTAGTTGTTAAAAGGAAAGCTGTCAAGGTAAACTCAGATGATTGTAAAAGATGCTAGTGGTATAGCCAACAGTGGCTTTTAATTGGCATTATTATTGTTCTGGTAGCTTGATGTATTATTGAGACAGTAAATTAAGCAATCGTGTCTCAAACAAGATTAGAAACATGAAGGACTGGGGTTTTTGAAGGTTTTTTTTCATTCTGCACTGAAAGAAGAGCCAAGTCCAGCTGTTTGGACACCTGCTTGGGAAGCAGGAGACCCCAGTTAAAGTAGGGACTGTGCCTTAACAGGTACCTGAGAAGAGAGCTTTTTTTTTTTTATCAGCATAAAATTCAACTGTCTCGTTTCAACTTTAGCTTAATCTCTCATATTATTCTGTAGCCTGAAATACCTGCACCATTCTACCATGGCAGTCATTACTTTTCCTTATTTTCCATATGACAGATGTATTAAAGGTGCTATATAAATTGTTGTGCTTTTCTCAATTATTTTGTGTTTTCCGAAACTTCATTCCTGGAACGATGTGCTGATAAATTATTTTATTGTCATTTCCACCGGGAGCTTCCTATTTGTCTAGTTATATAAAGCAAATAACTCTGAATAGAATAATACCTTGCAGTGAGCAGTAACTGCTAGAGAAGCACTTGGAACTGCAATCAGTCTTTTTAAAATGAAATGCAAACAGAGATACAGAGCAAAGGAAATAATCAGGAAAAACCCAAGAAGACAGAGGAACTGCCTCCTATATTGTTGGGATTTTTTTGCTTGCTCCTTTGCATTTTTTACCTGCTCTTCCTCCTCTTTTGGAATTCAAGGCAGAGTTCTTGGATTTAGACGTTCATAAACTTTGCATTTCCAGTCATAACCTCCTCATGTTATGGTATAGTTCATTGTGATTCTGTACCAAAGCTGCAGTAGAATAAAAGGTGCTGACTAAGTTGACACAGACTGAGTGCCTTGGGATTTGAAACTTTTGCCTTACGAGGATAAGCCACATGTAACAGTATATCTGCATGCACATGTTTGTATATCAGAGTATACCTGATATAATCACTTGTAATTACTAAGACTGAACTCATTTTTGGCTACAGACCTACTTCTTCAGGATGGTTGAACACTGGAGTGAGACTCTGAATTCTGTTCCCCATAGTGAGCTTCTTGGTAAAAGAGTCAAAAGAACTGTCAGAAATCTGTGCCCAGTATTTAAAGCCTTTTCTTGCCCACTTCTCATCAAGTGTGTGAAGTATATGGCTCAAGGTTTGTTTGCTAAAGGGATAAAGCTGCAGGACAGTGTGATGTTCTATCAACATGGCATTGTTCAAAGGGATAAAGACATCGTGTTAGCTTTACCATAGGCTTTAAGAAAATGTCAATGATATTTCTTTGTGTTAGACATATCTAAGTATAGTTTTAAAACAAACCCATACCAAAATGTTCTCTTTCCTTCTAGGAAAGAGAACGGTTATTGCGGTCTAAAAAACAGAGGAGGAAAAGTCTGAAGCCTCCAAAGGTGAGCAAACAGTTTTTCATGCATTTCCGTTCTTGTGAACAACACCTGTTTCAAGCACTGCCTGAATTTAAAGCTCTACTTAATGGAAAAAATCCATATAATTCTTCTGGTGAGTAATAAATTTTTTAGGTCAATTCAGGAGCTGCAATTTTGTACTGCACACGAGTGGTGTTGTTTTGGGGTTTGTTTTAAATAAACAGTATAATTGCACTTTTAGCCACTCTGCCTTAAATATTCAAGTGGCTTGAGGCCTAAATGACATCATGACTTGAAGCAACTAACATTTCAAAGGACAAATGCTCAATCCTTTTGAAAGAAAACACACCCTTTTAAATCAGTTGTACCAACATAGTGTTTAATCACAATTCAAAACTTTAACTTATGCTAGGGATGCTACTGAAATCATATTTCTGTATGTGATATATAAATAGAAACAAGATTCCAGCTATTCTGCTCTGGTAACTATTTTGTGCTAGAATACAAAGCGCAAGAGAAAAATTTAGCTTGTAGAATTAGACAAGTTTTGCTTCATCGTGTACCTTCAGTGTTTACTGTGGCATGTGCCTAAAGTACTTCATTTGCTGAATCATGTGTTTTTTGTGAAGCTGAACATTAGCAGCCTGGAGCATGTGAGTGGAGCAAAATGGGTTAAGAGGGATAAAATGGAAGAGTGGAGATATCATTAATCCATATGGTAGCTTAAGATACATTCTGTCATAATTGGGTGGCTGTTGTCAGTGTGTTCTGCGTAGTCTATTCCTGGTGACCTCCAGGTGGGGCTTTTTTATTGCTCTGCACTCTCTAATGCCTTTCTTCTGAAAAATTTCTCCTTTAGGATTCTCTGTTTCACTGGTAGTTTCTTCAAATTGTGCTTCTAATAATGATGTGTCTTTTATGTAGGAAAAAGGAAAAATTCAGAAGTAACAAATCTTGCCCAATATATTTGCAGCAACAGTGAACCATTCCTTCTTGGTGTAGTATAACTGGAAGTTTGTGTCTTGAGAGCAATTTTAAAAACAGGATGTAAAATTAAATATATAAGTATGTAACTTATACTGTACTTTTTATAGACCTAATTGTTAGCCTTTATCTGATGTCAAATGTGTAAGATCTTTTGCTAAATTGTAAAGTTCCTAATGAAACAAAACTGGTTAATTTAATATTTAGGCATTGATAACTGGCGATGCTGATTTTATAGGCTGAAAATGTCAGTCATTATTTATGCCTTAAAAATGTTCTGTGTTAACAGAACCTGAGCTGGCAGAGAGTCTGTACTCTTTCCTTTTACCTATTTTGTCTTGAGCAAGCTGATGCTCCTGTGGTATCTTCTTTTCCTTATTGACCAAAGCAGCAGTTGAACAACATGAGGATTGAAGAGAATGTGCATGATACCATTAAAACATTTATGGCAGTGCCACTCTTTGTGTCCTAAGAGTACTGCAACTGGGGGAATTCAGCAGAGTTTACTGCAAGAATTGTGTGCCTATGAGCAGCAGAGTTAGTAGGGGTGTGCTGCTTATTTAGAATATGACAGATATATCAGAGAACAAATTAATCAGTAGCAGACATTTCTCCCACGAGTTATTCCATCTCCTGTCCATTAGCTCTTCAGTGGTTGTAGGAAGTTGACCATTTGAAATGTTACTTGATGCTATCTCCTCAGAGGAAAAGCAGGACTATAAAACAAGAACAAGTGGAGAAAAGAGAAAATTGTGAGAGAAGAGTGAATGGAATCATATGTACTGTAGTAGTTATACTAGACACACTTTACTAATTAATATAGAACTATATTTAAAGTCTCTAAATGAGCTAATTCTTTAAGGAGTGAAAGAAGTAATCAATAATCAGTTTTTTAGTGCCTCTTTGCCTGTCGCTGTATATATCCATAGGCTATTCACATGTATATTCAGTGTTGACTTGGAGTTTAACCACTATTGATGTCAACTTCTAAAAATCCAAGCCTGGCATACAGAGTGGTTTACTTCCAGGTCTCCTATGTGGTCCTGTGAGGACCAAAATCCTCAAAGAAAGCTCTTTTCCCACAGTTTCCCAGCAGTTTTTTATTTAAGCAATCTATGTAGAATGGGCTGCTTACTCAGATGAGCTGTTGGGATTGTACCATCTTCATCCTCTCCATTTTTACAGCCCATCTCAGGAGTCCAGACGAAAATGGTAGAATTAATTTAACAAAGCATTGCAAATGTTGGTTAGATTTCATTAACAGACAGGAGATACAGACATCTCCCTCTGGACAAAGTGGTAGCATTAAATGGTTAGAAGTCAATATCTAAACAGGCCATATATGTTTTGTCCTAAAAATGCCTATTTCTCTCCATGAGCTATAAAGGCAGTCTCAGATGAATTGCTTTTTATATAGACATGCTCAACGTTAAGTGTATTTCTGTCTATGGCCTGTGCAAGATTTTTATATTATACACATAATAACCTGTGTAGAACAGTAGCAGAATTATGGGTGGATCTGTCCTAACCAAACACTCAGCACGAGAAATTACTGATCTAAATATTGTTACTTTTCCAAGGTTTTGTAAATGTAAAATTAGCATTAACACAGTGAATTATGAAGTCTGGCTGTTGGAGTTGTATCTATTTCCAGGTGTG